CCCCCCCCCCCCCCCCCCCCCCCCCCGGCCCCGGGAGAGGCGGCCGCGCGCTCCCCTCTGCCCTCATTATCCAAGCATTTATTAACTCCGCTGCTCTCAGCCATTGACTGCCGCCTTGTCGACACGACAGGCTCATGTAAATTCATTATGAGAACAGCTGGGAATCAAACCCAGCACAGGGTGTTGGGGGGGAAATGGGGGGGGGCACACCCCTAGCTTCGCACCAACCCACACAGCCCCGGTGAGGTTGGGGTCCCCCCCTGTAATTACGGGGCACCGGGTGCAGCGTTCAGCCCTGCAGCACAGCCCTATAGGGCTGAGCACCCCACACAGCTCCTTACTGCCTGGTGGCCCCCACACAGCCCCCCCCCCCCAGCCCCAATAAAAGCCTGGCGATGCTGTGCTAATCAGCGCTTCTCCTGCCTCCCGCGGGCTCTGTAATTACTCCTCCCTTTCATCCCTGGCTCCTCGCAGACACCAGACCTGGCCCTGCCACCTCCGCGCTCTCTAATTACAACCTGACGGCGCGGGTGGATTTTTTTGGCCTCCCCCCCCCCTTTACACACAAGCACCGCTGCTCCCTGGAAACCTCCTGCTTTGCAGCAGGGCTGTGCACACCCATGCACTCTTACTGGTGCACTCGTGGGACCCTCAGAACAGGGCAGTCACCACAGCACTGCCACCGTTCTTGGGGGGCAGGAAGAGAAGGACCCACGTGCCGCCTTCAGGTATGGAGCTCCACGGCTCTCCTCCCCCGTGGGGACCACAGGGACACGCAGCACGGGGTCACCGAGGCCATCGCCATCCACTGTGCCCACACAAGGGTCACCCCACACCTCAGGGCTGGGCGCGTGCCACCCTCCTCCACCTGCTCCTGCTGACGCCGGCGGGTTTTTGGCAGCAGGAGCCGCTCCAGCAGCAGGAACAGAACCAGTCTGGCCGCGTGTGCAGCTGCAGCCAAACCGACACAACGGCAGAGGGGACGGGGCGCATGCGCTCTCAGTGGCAAAGGGGCGCATCCAAAATGCACCCCCCCACACCCTAACAGCCCTGGGGATACACAAAACACGGGGATACTCACTGCAAAACCAGGGCTGGGCAGGAGTGACACGAGTTGACAGCACTGGTAGGGGTGGCATAAGTGGAAGCAGGGACACGCAGGGCAGAGGTGACGCACCAGACCGCTAGAAGGCAGCAGGCTGCAGCACAGGAGGCAGCTGCTGGAACGCCGGTGTCACTGCACGGATGGGGACCCACAGGGCACACGGTGGTGCTCACCCCACTCCTGCAGCTTGGCCCTTCCCACCCTGTCTCCATCTCCCTGCTCTCAGCCCGTCCCCTTGTCTCCTGCTGTGTCCCAGTGCCACCTCAGCCAGGTGCCACCTCAGGAGCGGGGACACCAAAGGACTCAGGGATGGTGGGTGGCTGCAGCAGGAGGATGGGGAGCGCTGGCAGGGGGGCTCTGCAGGACAATCTGGGGGCTCAGTGTCACTGCATCATCCTTCTTGCCCCCATCCCCCTTGCAGGAGGCTGCTGGGAAGCGCTGTGCTGGCAGGTTCAGCACCTCTGCTTTGTCCCCCTCTGCCAGTAATGCACAGGCACCTTGAAAGGCCCCTAATGAGCATGAAGTACCCTTCAGAGCAGATTGCCATTGAACTCAACCTGCACCAGCCGCCTGCTTAAAAGCAGCTATTTTGAGCTCATGGGTGCACAAGTGCTGGAACTAATAATTTATTACCAAATACGATCAGGCAGCATCTCCAGCCCCTGGCAAATGGAGCAGGAAAAAAAAAACCAACAAAAAAACCAACACCCGACAGCGCAGCAGAAAGCGCAGCAGAAAGCTGTACAAGAGAGAGGATGAGCATCCTCCCCAAGGACCGACCTCAGCCACAGCCCTGGGACTCCCATCTGTGAACCCCATCAGGCTGAGCCCAATGCTTAGAGGGGAACTGAGCAGCTCAGGACAGTGCCCCATGGCACGAGCCACCACGGGAGCCCACTACAGCCACCATCAGACAACACCAGGACCAAGAGAAATCATCAGGGCCATCATGGGACATCACCAGAGCCACAATGGGAAGTCCCCAGAACCACTGTCAGATGTCACCAGGGCCACCACGGGACGTCATCGGGCACCAGCAGGTGCCATGGGCAAAGAGGTCCCTGCAGGTGCCAGCTGCATCCCTATGAGGAGGATGCAGGGATGGGGAGGCTGTAGGGAGCCCCAGCTGAGGCCAGTGAAGGGGTTAAGGCCCCTGCCACCGCTTTGGCTTTTGTTCTCCTGCTCTGCCTCTTAACCCCGGCTGCAGCGATACTTCCTCTCCTTTCACTGCCTCTGCTCCCAATCTGGAGCCGGCCTCCAGCTGCACACGCCTCGCACAGGGAACAGCTGCTTTGCATACATTTTCCATGCTAATTGCCTCACATTGTGGAGCCCCAGCGCCGCCTGAATGCAAGCGGCCAGAACCAGGGAGGGCAGCACGTCCCCAACACACACCTCCAGGGAGGTGTCACAGCAGGACAGGCACTAGGTGACATCCTGGGGATGTGTCGTGCCAAGCCCCAGCCTCCTGCAGGGATGGTGTGAGGCCATGGCACGGGATACGTGGCACAAGCACATGGTGGTGATGGCAGCAAGATGCCACCAAGTTTGGTGATGGCTGCATGGGATGCCAGGCACACTGGAGTGGTCCCCACAGTCATGGGCGAGGGGTGGTGGGTCCTCAATGCAGCACCTGAGCAGCACCAGGTACCTTCAGCAGCAAGGGAGACAGGGACAGTAGGGGACAAGCAGCAGGACCGTGTCCTCCCCTGTCCACGTGTCTTCCCACCGAGCTGCTGCACATTTTCCATCCCTCATTAAAATAGCTCTGCCGCCGCACCTCCAGCACGCTCCATTAATTAATTAATTGATTGATTGGAGCCTGCGCTCCTGCCCTCCTCCCAACCCTCCCTGCACGCTGCTTTCTAATGAGCCAAAAACAAAGGTGCCTGTCCTCATAGAGCACCCAGTGTCCCTAAGTGTCCCAAAGCACTTTGGGCCACCCTACACAGCCGCTACACATGAGGGGTACAGGGTGGCCCCCAGAGCTAGGAGGATGGGGATGGGATCCCCAGATCCCCCCCAGGATGGGGATGGGAGCACAGCACGGCACAGTGCCATCAGCCCACGTGCTTCCATCGATCTCTGCTCCATGGCTCATTGATCTGGCAAACGACAACAAGCAAAGTAATCAGAGCTCATTTGGAGGCAGAGGGGCCGGAGCTGCACTGCCATCAGCACCAGGGCTGCAGGCAGCATTGCTCCCCAGCTGCGGCCCCGAGTGCATCCTTGCAAGCTGCCCCCAACCCTGTGTTGTGCTTTAAAGCCACTTTCCTCCCTGCTCTGCTCCAGCAGAGCTGAGCCCAAGCAGGGCACTACTACCACCACCACTTCCCATTTCTCCAAAGTGCAAGTGCCTAAAATGCCTTCCCCCCACCCCTCGAGCCCTTCTGCCCTGCGTGCACCCATTTCCATCCTCACCTGTATTGCCAAAGCACCAGCCCTGTGCGAGCATAATGACTTATAAAGCAAAAGCACCTGGGGAGGGGCTGCATGCAAACAGCTGCAGCTGTAAAACTGCAATCAGGAGCCAAGGGGAACAACAAGCTCTCTGCTTTGGAGAAAAGCAGCTACAAGGGGATGGGCAGAGGGATCCAAGGGCATTGCAGAGGGCTGCAGGGCATTGCACAGATCAAATCTGGGCATTGCGCTGAGCTGCCAGGCATCATGTGAGAGAGAGGTGGGCATTGCACAGTGCTGCAGGGCATGGCACAGTGCCACTGGGTATCACGTGGGTCAGAGCCAAGCACTGCACGGCACTGCTAAGTATTGCACGGATGGTGCTGCAGGGCACTGCACAGTGCCACCAGATATTAGATAGGTCAGAGCCAAGCGCTGCACGGGGCTGCAGGGCATTGCATGGGGCTGCAGGGCATTGCATGAGGGTGCAGGGCATTGCACAGGGCTGCAGGGCATTGCATGAGGGTGCAGGGCATTGCACGGGGCTGCAGGGCATTGCATGAGGGTGCAGGGCATTGCACTGGCCAAGGTCAGGCACGGCCCAGAGCACCCAGGCCACCTCCCAGCCCCGTGCCCATCCCCATTCCTGCACCCCAGCCCAGCCCCACTGCAGGAGCGCCCGCGTTGCTGTCAGCAGCGCATTGTTCTCAGTGCGA